AGGAAGGAAGGAAGGAAGGAAGGAAGGAAGGAAGGAAGGAAGGAAGGAAGGAAGGAAGGAAGGAAGATAGCACTAATACATATATATCGCTTGATAGTGCTTTACAGCCCTCTCTAAGCGGTTTGCAGAGTCAGCCTCTTGCCCCCAACAAACTGGGTCCTCATTTTACTGATTTGGAAGGATGGAAGGTTGAGTCACCCTTGAACTAGTCAGGATTGAACTTCTGGCAGTTGGCAGAGTTAGCAATGCTGCACTCTAACCACTGTGCCACCAGGGCTCTTAATGGAAGGGTTGGGGGGGGGGGGTTCTAAGGGAAGGACTATTATTGTGGACCAAAACGACGTGATTTCTGCTGTTCCAATCTCATACGAAATCTTTCCTCTTGAGCTGGTGTTTTTTCTGCTCTGAAGGTATAAAATGCTTTCCTGGTTACCACTGATGAAGCCAAACATGTTTCCTAATTAATTAAAAGGCCATGTATTCATTTTTAAATGCAGGCAAATAGTCGGGACGAATACCGTCTTACAGTGGACTTTGTGAAAACAAGATGTAAAAAGAGTAGGAAGATGAAATATAAGGGAATCCAGAAATGTAAGCCACTTCAAGGGAATCAGGAGGTGAGATTAGATGCCAAGTTCCGATAATCTATTTGTGGTTTAATGGATAAAACCTGACTTGTCTGAGCTCAGCAGCCACTTTTGCAATGGAGCTTTTAATTATTTCCAGGGACGATCTCAATTCAAAACAGGAAGGGTGGCACGATAGCGGTGTTTGCTATTTGAGGGGCTGCCCCAAAGAAAACGGGGGTCAACCTTTTCTCCGAAGCACCTGAAGGAAGGAGAAGAAGCAACAGATGCAGAGGTGGTATTCAGCAAGTTCTGACCAGTTCTGGAGAACCAGTAGCGGAAATTTTGAGTAGTTTGGAGAACCGGCCTATACCGCCTCTGACTGGCCCCGCACCCATCTATTCTCTGTCTCCCATTGAGTCCCAGCTGATTGGCTGGGTCTTCTTTGGTTGCCCTGCACAGGAGAACAGAGCTGGAAAGCAGGTTAGGGGATTTTGCAATATCCTTCCCCTTCCACGTCCACCAAGCCACAGTCACAGAACTGGTAGTAAAAAAAATTGGAATCCCACCACTGAACAGATGGAAACACATGAAGTAGTAGTATCACTTTATAATGCCTTGACAAGACCACCCTTGGAATACTAAATCCAGTTTTGGTTGCCACGATATAAAAAAGATATTGAGACTCTATAAAAAGTGCAGAGAAGAACAAACAAAAAAAGGATTAGGGAGCTGGAGATTAAAACATACGAAGAATGGTTGCAGGAATTGGGTATGTCTAGTTTAACGACAAGAAAGACCAGGAGGACCAGAGGATAGCAGTCTTCCAATATTTGGCGGGCTGTTACAAAGAGGAGTGGGGTCCACTTATTTTCCAAAGCACCAGAAGGCAGAACAAGAAACAAGGGATGGAAATGAATCAAGGAGAGAAGCAGCCTGGAATTAAGGAGAAATTTTCTAACAGTGAGAACAATTAACCAATGGAACAGCAGCCACCAGAAGTTGTGGCTGCTGGCCCTGGTTGCTGAAGGGGGCTAATCTTGCTCCCTGGACTATTTGCAGCCAGAGGCTTCTGCAGGCGGATGGGAGAGCCTGGCTCAAGGACTGCAGTGACTGTGGAAACGGTTTGGGGGCACAGTTGGAACAATAAAGGGAAGTTGGACCGGTTCTCTAGCTGTGTGGCTTTCATGCCAAGCCCCTGGTCATCAAAAAAGGGGTTGGACTAGATGACCTCCAAGGTCCCTTCCAACTCTGTTTTTCTCTTTCATTCCCTTCCAGAAACCAAACTGCTACTTTAGAATTATACCCTGCTCTCCGCCATCCAAATGGCAGTTGGGATTCACAGACTGCCTCTGATCTGGGCCTCCGAAGAGCCTCTTCTGCTCAGACTAAGGATGCTGAGTGTGTCCATCAGCCGAGCAACCTCTGGTGTGCAAACTGGGTTCACAGCAAGCTTTGCTTCTTCTGACACAACTCAGGAATGAGACCGTTTGCTTAAGCCCAAATTCACATCTCCTGAGTTCCTGAAATTATTCCTTGACCTGCAAGGAGACCTTCCCTTGCACTTCTCCTCTTTTCCATCATTTCCATCTTTGGGAAGAATCCATATTTTGCTAATTCCATTAATTAATCTCAATAAAGCTATCAGCACGATGTTTCCGGCTTGTGTCCTTTTCTCGTCCAAATCCCTCCCAACCTTCAGGTTTTGACACCCACAGCACAAGGACACAATGGCTCGTCCCATAAACCATCTCACTAGAAGGACTTTGCTTTGTCCAAGGAGGGGGGACGGGTCTGCTCTGGGCTTTTGCTTTGTCCCCTTAATGTGGTCTTCTTTAACCCCCGACTGTCCCACCTGGGGGGAAGAGAGGCCATCAGAGACCCCTGAAGCATCCTTGGTTGGAAATGCAACAGCTGCCAGATGCTGAATGGTGAAGCAATTTGGTCCTTTTCCAAACTTCTGGAAACTTTAGCTCTGGTGGCTGCATGTGTTTGTCTGTTTTCTTTTTGGTAACTACAATTACCAATTCTTAACAGAATACTGTTTCTTTCCTATAGTCTACTCTAATTGGCTTACCATTATGCCAATGAATACGTCTTGCCAGTTAGGGATAATTGCCAGGAAACCTTCTGGGGTATTGGAGGGAGGGAAGGAAGGAAGGAAGTAGGGAGGGAGAGAAGGAAATAAGTGAGTAAGTCAGGAAGGAAGGAAGGAAGGAAGGAAGGAAGGAAGGAAGGAAGGAAGGAAGGAAGGAAGGAAGGAAGGAAGGAAGGAAGGAGAGATATATTGAAAAAGGGAGGGAGGGAAGGGAGGAATGGGAGTTAGGTTGGAAGGGAGGGAGAAAGGGAAGGAAAGGAAAGGAAGCGGAGGGGAGGGAGGGAGGGAGGGAGGGAGGGAAGGAAGGAAGGAAGGAAGGAAGGAAGGAAGGAAGGAAGGAAGGA